CATTTGTAATCGACTGCAAATACTAGTGGATTCATTAAAACTGGGTCAGGCCCCGTGGGTTTTCCCCCTTTTCAGAGGTTTTCCACGTAAAAACTTTGGTGTCTCTTATGAATGCTACACCCTCTCACTTATCCGCTAAGACGTTAAACTAAATATTTCTTTACCGTCGCGAATACTCCAGGACGCAACACTTCTGATCACCGTTGCCTATCTGTCATCATTTTATCACCTTTGCTCGACTGTCAAAATTCACCCACCATTGTCTGATAGCTAGCATCGCCTTGTTGTAATTCATCTAACATTGCCTTGCTATGGATGTCTAACTGGCTTCATTTATTGGCACCATCACCCTTCAATACTTCTCTTATATTCTCAATTACAGACCAAATAAAGAAGATTGATCTATTGTAATGTTCTAAATTTTGCAATTCTGTATCATCTGGCTGAGAGAAAGAGTTGATATTTATGATCTCTATCAATATTGCAGATCATTTTCTCTGGCTCAGACCCCTGATTTTTTTTCTTTTTTAGATTTTTAATATAAAAACTCTAGTTTCTTATGTATTATTTATTTATTTATTTTGTGTGTGTGCAGAATCTTAATACAAAAAGCTTAAAATAATCTTTTGATTATTATAAATTTCTTAGCACGTATTTTAAGAGAGTGTGATAAATTGTTTTTTAATATATATAGTGGAATTTCTCATGTTTAGAAAATTTTAAAAAAATGTAAATAGAATATAATGAATTTCTATAAATTGATTTTAGGTTAGTTATTACTTGTTAATGTCGTTCCACTAATTATTATTTTGAAACGGGCTGGGTCTAATCTGAAATTTCCATATTGGGTTTGGGTCGGATTTTCGTGTTGTGTCAAATATTGACACCCCTGCTCTCTATTATTATAAATTTCTTAGCACGTATTTTGAGAGAGTGTGATAAATTGTCCTTTAATATAGTTGAATTACTCATGTTTAGAAAATCTAAAAGAAATGTAAATAGAAAAATATAATGGATTTCTATAAATTGATTTTAGGTTAGTAATTACTTGTTAATATCGTTCCACTAATTATTATTTGTGATTGAAAATTCTCTTGTGAACATCTATACATGATGCCACAAAGAACATATCCTAATATAATTCATAGATGTTTGATTTTAGTTAATATAGTCAAATTAGGGACTAAGGTTTCGTTTGTGACGACTTTCTTCTTTCTTCTTAAAACAGTTTTTTATACAGAAAAAGTAAAAATTTTGTACTAAAAAAATTGCTTTAAGAAACAATAAAAAAAGTCATCACAAACGAAGCTTTTTTATTAATTTCTAAAGAAGAAGAAGCTTTCTAGTACAAAAAATTTTGAACTCAAAATTTTTATATTAAAAAACTGCTTTAAGAAGCAGAAAGAAAGCCGTATCAAATGAAGCCACAATCAAATATATGAAAAGCCTCTTTCTATTTCAAGCTATTATGAGAAACTTAGGCTTAATTTGGGATGACTTTCTTATTGCTTCTTAAAGCGGCTTTCTTGTATAAAAATTTTAATTTTTGTACTAAAAAGCAGATTTAAGAAGCAATAAAAAAGCCGTCCCAAACGAAGCCTTAGGCTTCGTTTGGAATGACTTTCTTACTGCTTCTTATAGCAGTATTCTAGTACAAAAATTAAATTTTTTTATAATAAAAAGCTGCTTTAAGTTGCAAAAAAAAAAAAAGCCGTCCCAAACGAAGCCTTAGGTTTCATTTGAAACAACTTTCTTAATGCATTTTAAAGTAATATTTTAGTATAAAAATTTTTTAAATTAAAAATTTTCATATTAAAAAACTGCTTTAGAAAGCAGAAAGAAAGCCGCCTCAAACTAAGCCTAACTGCAATACAAATTCTAATTGATGTCCATATTGATATATTTTTCCAAACAAAATTATTTTACTTTAATAACATACCACGATTGTAAATGTTATGAAAGAAAACAGATTGTTTTTTTTTTTTAATAAAAACCCGCAAAGAGGCATACAAGTTAAAACATAAAACAGATTGTTAATTGTTCTATTTTATTAATTCTATTATTTCTTGCATTACGTCTATTCTTTTGTAGGCGCGTTTAACGTATTGAGTATATTTCTTGCAAACTCAGCTTAATTGAATATTTAATAATTTTCATGGTATTTATTGAGCATTACGGATGAAGTAGCTTTAGATCTGTTCTATAGAGATTATGGGAAAGTGATTAAGGCTAAAAAGAAATCTAAATCTTAGATGAATTAACATAACAGTTATATTTTGCTGCTTTCTAAAGCAGATTTTTATCACAAATTTTTTTAAACTATAAAATTTTGTACTATAAAATTACTTTATAAAGCAGTAAGAAAATTGTCCCAAACAAAAACTTAGTGTGGCAATTTCTAATTGCTGAATTAGCTTTAAGATTATCAAATTACTTTGTTCTATAAATTATTGTTGATATCATTATGTATAAGATGACCATCATCTTTTATTTCTTTGAAAAGTTTCTTTGTGCTTCATGTTTGATATGTTATTAAGGAACTCAAGAAATGCCAACATAATATTGGCTCATGGCCAAGGTTAATGTTTTCTTGCTGATCCAAATGCCAACTTGAAATGGTCGAACATATATGTTGGCTCATAACTTAAATTATGCTTCGTTTGGACAGCTTTCTTACTGCTTTTAATAATAACTTTTTAGTTTTATTGAAAGCAACAAAAAAACAGTGACCAAAAGTCATCCCAAATAGAGTTTTAATTAGATTTCGAGCCTATTTGGCTCAAATCTTGTTTTTCGAGTTGGCTCAACAAGCCGCTTAATTCATTTACTCACGGATACATTTTATCCTTTGTGCATCAAGATGCATAATCCATCTATATGAAGCTTCATGGATCTAAAGATTTTTTACCCCCTTGCATGTTCAGCTTTCCTCTATTAGGCAGTCAGGGCCAATAACACCCAAAATGCCGTGGTAGTTCAAAAAGGCCCAAAAAGCTTACAATTTTTTTGCCATAGAAAATGCATTTTTTATCTTATGCACGCACACACGAGCTCCCACCATACCATCATGAAGCCCAAACAACTTAGATTGAGTACTTTGAAATCCAACCAGAACCTTTATTCTTCTGCCATTTTACGAATCTGCTGCAACATAGGGCCAAATCTCAGTGGATCGTGGCAGCAAAGGCCACTCTGTCACGTATAATGCCCCGTTGCGAATTTAAGTCATATGCAAAGGATTCAGCCCATCTTCCGTTCAAATGATTCATTTTCCCCTTTTTTAATTTTAAAAGTATTAAATATTTATAAATTTATAATTCTTATATGCAAATATTTGCACGCACATATATCTAAATGCTTTAAATTTAAAAAAAAAAAATATGCATATATATTTATATTTTGAGTCAATTTTGTGACAACTCAATATGATCTAAGCTTAGCTTGAAATAGGATCGAACTTACATGAGTTGACTCGCAGCTTGAAATTATAAAAATACATTTTAATTATATTTTGAATTAATTATTTTGATTTAGGCTTCGTCTGGAATGACTTTTTTATTGCTTTCTGAATCAGCTTTTTAGTATAAAATTTTTTTGAATTATAAATTTTTGTAATATAAAGCTACGTACTTTAGAAAACAGTAATAATGTCGGCCCAAACGAAGCCTCAAACGCAACTTGAAATCCGATTGAGTAAAAATTTGGCAGGTCATTCGATTTGTTTGGCTCGATCCGAGCTCAATCAGGGACAAATATGGATTCAACTTTTGTTGGTCTTCCATCTTTCAGCTAAACTCTTAGCCCTAGCCAATCTAGCATGAACCTATCAAATTATTTAAGAAGTGTTTTGTCTACTTAATTTTATTTAGATTTTTATCTGAGTTGATGAACATTTGACATTTCTATATGAATTCTTGCAAAATTTATTGGTTCATCACTTCATTTCATGATTAGAAGTTAGAAGTTTGTTGTTAATGAAATTTCTGTCCCTCTTAATTTATTTATTTATTATTATTATGCAACTATGAGTGGGAAAAAAATAAAAATAAATTAGAAAAAATAATCTGTTTAAATTACTTTGGTTTGAGTTTTATTTTATTCTGTTTTGTATAATTCAAAAAAAATATTAGTTTTTTATAAATTTAATAAATTTGATGTTTTGAAAAAGAAAAGTAAATAAATAAATAAATAATGATGGTTGATCTTTAATTTTTAATTGTCTATGCTATTTTAAGTTTGTTCATTTTATATTAAAAAAAGAAAATTTAAAAATTAGTTAAATTAATTCAAAATTTTCTATTTAAAAATCTGATATGAAAAAGAAAGCAATTAAAATCTTACAAAATTAATTCAAATTATAATTTTTACACTACAAAAAAAATGTTAAAAAAAATCAAATTAAAACTTACTAATTTTTAGGCTTCAGCTTTGTTTAAGATAGTTTTCATACTGCTTTATAAAATTA